AGCAGGATAAAGACAGAAATTAAGCAAACAAAGAGTTGGTTGGAGAACGGATTGAGTCCATGTAAAGGACAATATACTCTAGGGAGCTCCAATACCTCCACAGCTCTCCCATTTGTTCATCAGATGTGCTTTAAAAGACGCATGGATTAACTGATCAGAACCAGAAAGGAAACAGCAGTGTAGGGTAGGCCTGAAGTAATTAATCAGTGAATCTTAAGGAAAGGAAGCTCAAATTCTGCTTAGGATTTTATAAAGCTCCAATCCTGCAAATACTTATGCATGCTATTAGTGTCCGGCAATCCCACTGAATTCCTTATCATTAAAAGGATAGCACATTGTGTTTCTTGTACAGGAGTTATTCTGCCTTGCTTGCAAAAATTCAGTAGTTTTGGTTGATGACAATAATCTTGTTTCAAAACTGTTTCCAAGATAAAAATACCAGGGAAAGGATCTAAACCATGCAGGCAAGGGCTGCATGCTGATGTAGCTGTTGCAGCTACATCCAAAGACAGTTGTGCTACAAGTGACACACCTATTAAAATAGTGCTGAATACTGAAAAATAAAAGGAATGGATTTGTTCCTATGTCAAGCACAAAGACAAGTAATTATTTCTTATTTTAATCAGATTTAGCTATCAAAACAGTATGTACCATGTACCAGATCTAGGAGGCATATCCATTACAGCACAAACTAAATTTGGAAGTAACATACACAGAAGCAAAATTTTCTTAAGAGATGTTTTCATATTTATACTTTATAAATCCAAACTTATTAAACCTGCTGTGGCAACAAAGACTTGCACAAACGAGCGAGACTTAATAGGCCCTTGGGATAAGGCCTTTTTCAACTAATGTGGACTATATTTTTAATTCCACAATCCATAAATCATACTTATGTATTCATTTCTCTATCATTTTCAACACCTTATGTTCATATTTTAGAAAGAAATATTTCCCAATTCACTATTAAGATCATTCCCTGATTGATATCTTACCATTCCTTCTGGCATAAAATTAGTATATCACCTAAATGTAGATTGCCTTTGACCCCCTTTATAAGATCAAGAATTTTACATATGAAAGAGTTGAGTGAACTTCTGACCATGAATTGGGTATCAATTATTATCTGCACTGACATGTAAAGCACTGTTTCAAAAGTTTTTATAAAATAAACCTTTTCTTTTAAAAGCTTGAAAGAGATGAGTACACAGTTCAGTATTATAGTTAGATGGCAAACCTCACACCAACACTAATTATTCCAATAACTCATCAAGACCTTGGAACTATCAGTAACCATCTGGTGCACATCTGTGTGTCTGGAAAAAGAAACTAAATTATTTTCTTGGTAGATCAGAGAAGAAAGAAGGGGAAAGAGGACAGCAAAGGCCAGTAGTAAGATTAGATTTTTGGTGACCGACAGCGATTATTCCTGGTAGCCACATAAAACTACAAGATGATGTAGCCTGGACTAATCACAAAATAAATAATCCAAGATAAAGAAATACCGGTTTTGTCCTTGTTTGATGATCTACTATATCTATACTATATTAAATTGCACTGCAGAACAAGTATTATTTTCATTAGGTGAAAAAGTCACTTTGAAACAATGGAAAGATAAGTCATTTCCAGTCAGTTTCCCTAATAAGGCTTACAGTTATTCATTAAAGTACAACATGAAGGACACAAGATAGACTAGGTATCTTTAATAGTGCTTGGGAACCCAGTTTACGTCAATATATTAAGTTTTAATGATCTGAAATAGGGAAAAGCATGAAATTATTTAATTTAACCATAGCACTTTCATAGAAGAACTGGAAATGGACTTAGACTTGCAACACAAAATGGCTGAGTATCTTCAACTCCTGAAAACAAGTGCAGAGGCATTTTAACGGGAGGGGGTATTTCTCAATGATCAGGGTGTATTTGTCATTTTATCAGAGACACAAGGTACAATGTTGGAAGGATCAACAGGTGGATTTTAAACAGGACACAAAAGCAAAGTCTGTTCTCAGAAACCATTTTCTGAACCTCGTGCTGCTTACCTCCACATTGTGTTCTAAGGCAGGAGGGCACCAGGGAACCCATCTTTAGAGATAAGACTGTAATCCCTTCAATCAAGATGTAACACACCTCTAAATAGAAGGAGCCAATCCATCCTAGCCTCCATATTGTGTCCTCCCTGAAGCAGAAAGCCATGATTCTGTGTGACCACACGCAATCCTTTGAACCGTCTTTTCACATGATCACGAATCAGTCTCTAGACATCAAAACCCAAGAGATTCTGGTGAAAGTAGGCATATAGAAGTTGTAAGTTGTACGCAGAAGGAACTAGAAGACTGCACTGGAAGACTAAGGGCAAGGAGACCAGAGGCAAGGACACTGCTAACTCAAAACCGCAGATCAATAACTACTGGAGTGACTATTAATTTTGCTTGTCCTTGAAGAACATATAACCATGAAAGCAAAACTGAGTAGTTGCTCAATAGCAGAGAAAAGCCAGGAGGATGTGCAACAGTGTGTATGCTGGGAAAAGGTAATCTAATATTGGTAGATTAGACAAGAGAAGGACATTCTCCCATGACAGATTTAACCCCGCAGAGCAGTTCTCTGGCACTCTCCTCGTGTGCCCCCCTTGCCCTCTATCTCTCAAGTCTGAGCAATCCTGACAGATTCCCAGCATTTATCAACAAGACAAAGCTGCTGAGGACAGAGCTAACCAGGGGCAGCATTTATGGTTCCCAGGTGTCCCAACAGGATGTTGAAATAAAACACATTTATGTAAACTACAGATAACTTCAAGCTGGGAGTGGATAAAAAGAAAAGATCAGAATCCTAAATTATCCGGAACAACTAGAGGGATGGTCTGAAATAAGGCAGCTGAAATTTAACACACACAAGTTCAAAATGCTACATTTGGACAGAGGGAACCAAATGCACTAGCACAAAATTGATAATAACGAGGTAGAGGTGCAGGACAACAAGCTTGAGCAGATCACAAACTAAATATGTGTTTCAACAGTGTTGCAGATCTTAAATTAGCATGTACTAGCAGAAGCATTTGTACAATTGCAATTGTACAGATGTACAATTTTGGAAGTATGTACTGCCCTGTCCTCAGTGTCAGGGAGGGTCTGGTTTTGAGCATCAGTCTATAGAACAGACACCAACAAATTTGAAAAAGTCCAGATGAGAAAAGAAATGGTGAGAAGAGATTTTGAAAATATGACCTATGAAGAGGGGAGGGGAGAGCAAAACCATAATGTTTCCCAGGAAATGGCTGCTAGATATAAAAGAGAAGAAAAAAGCAACTCAATTTGTGATGACGGCAACTCATGTCAGATATTAGGAAAAAAAGCTTTCTAACACTTAGAGTGAAAGAACATTGTACAGAACAAGGGATATTGTAGAACCTTCTTCATGGAAGAACACATTTTAAGAAACAATTACCTACGATATTTAGGTAAATACCTGACTCACCTCAGAGCACAAGTTTGGTTTAGATGTTCCTTGAGATCAACTCTTGGTCCTCATTTTTAGGAGTCCTAACAGTTACTGTGAATGACTGGTGAGACATTCAACACTGCCTGTTCTGATTCAGAACATGGCTTCTGGCCCCATGTCTTTTTCCCAACCATTGTAGGGGTTCCTATCTAATGCATGATCCTGTCTCACACTCTGCAGCGTACAACTCCCAGCACAGATACAGTCTCCAAGGATTCTCTTCCCAAACTATCAGATGGAGAGTGCTTTCATACTTTTCCTTCTTAGGTGATCATTGAGTAATTCTGAATATGCTCCATACTTATTCTCCGAGCCACTCTCTAACCCTCATTTAACCCCTTTTCACAGAACCACTGAGGCTAGCAAGGGCCTTTGGCGATTGTATAGTCCAACTCGCCCTGGTCAAAACAAGGTCACCTAGAGCAGACTGCTCCAAGGATGGAGACGCCAGAACCTGCCTGGTTAATCTGTTCCAATGTTCAATCACCCTCACAGTAAAAAGGCTTTTTCTTACAGTTTAAATGGAATTTCTCATATTTCAGTTTGTTCCCATTGCCACTTGTCCTGTCACTGGGCACCACTGAGAAAAGTTTGGCTAAGTCTTCTGGCTACTTTGATGAGATCCCCCTGAGCCTTCTCTTCTCTAGGCTAAACAGTCTCGGATATCTCAGCATCTCCTCATATGAGAGATGCTCCAGTCCCTTAATCATGCTCATGGCCCTTTGCTGGACTCTCTCCAGTAGCTCCACATCCCTCTTGTACTGGGGAGCCCAGAACTGGACACAGTACTCCAGGTATGGCCTCACCAGTGCTGAGTAAAAGGGAGGGATCATCTCCCTTGACCTGCTGTCAAAGCTCTTCCTAATGCAGCCCAGGATGCTGTTGGTGTCTCTGCTCAAAGCAAAGGTACACTGCTCACCAATGGTCAACTTGGTGTCCTCCAGGACCCCCAGGTCCATTTCTGCAAAGCTGCTTTCCAGCCAGTCAGCCTGTAGTGATGTCTCGGGTTGATCCTTCTCAGGTGCAGGACTTTGTACTTTCCTTTCTTTAACTTCATAAGGGTCCTGTCAGCCCATTTCTCCAGCCTGTTGAGGTCCCTCTGGATGGCAGCATAACCCTCTGCTCTATCAGCCACTCCTCCCAGTTTTGTATTATGAGCAAACTTGTTGAGGGTGCACCCTGTCTCATCATCCA